TTAGTCGCAATCCTAAAAGTTGGAGAGAGGCGTTTGAAATTATTAAAAACAACGGCTATTTAAAATATAACAACAATAATGAGACATTTTTCAACAATCAGGGGCAATATTCAGCTAGCCGTAATAGAAATTTTAGTAGAAATGTACTACAACAACGAAATAGCAGCAATAGATTTCACTCTGAATAACAGCCCAGTAACAGCAACAGATAAGTATTTTTAAGAAACGATTAGAATCTAGCATAATGGCGAGGCCAAACCAGATGTGTCAGGTTGTCTAAAGTTTTTAAAAATTTCTGTAACTAATTTTTAATACTTTCTTCTGCGGCGGGTTTGAAAAATGTGTGGTTATAGCGAGCTAAATAGGTGGATATGAAAAATAAATTATTATTTTCCAGGAATGAAAGTTTTGAACAAAATTTTGATTTCAAGGTCGTGGCTGCCAGCCGAATCAGTTCAGAATATTGTTATTTAAAAAAAAGCACCCTGTTTTTTATTAGCATTTGAATCTCAGATAGTTACGTAATTCTTACCTTATTAAAGGTCAGACCTATAGTTTTTTAATTATTTGAGCATCGATTCTCTTTATAGCTAGACGTTTATCATTTCTGCTGGAAATCCCTATTGAAGGAGCTTACTCTTTGACTTTTAATAGCAAAGAAGGGACAGTTTTACCACAAAAGTTTTTAGCCAAGAATTCAGTGTATATCCCTATGAAAAAATATTGCCCGACAAGTAAACAAAATTATATTTTTAAAATTTTTGCTAATCTATATATATAAATGTGAATGTCTGTTTGTTTATTACCTTATCACTTCTGAATCGCGGCACGGAATCGCACCAAATTTTGCACAGTTATTTGATTTTACCCCGGCAAGGTTATAAGCAAAGAGAAAAATGGGCAGTACTGGAAAAGAGGGCGTGGCACCACCTATACTAACTAAAATTTTCATGTTGTATATCTCTTGAAATATTTGTGGTAGAGCATTGGAACTTGCTGTCGAGATAAATAAAATTGATTCCATACTTATGGGAAAAAATTGGCGGTATTGGAAAAGGGCGTGGCACCTCTCATAGGCGTGAATTATTTAATCAGCTCTAACTTCGGAACCGTAAGTCACATGAACTTGAAATTTGGTATGCAGACATATCTATGGTAAGTGCTTATAGTAAGGTATATATATGAATAAGACTCTGAAAGGGGGCGGCAAATCCCAAAGGCGTGGAATATTTTACCAGATGTAACTTCTGAACAGCTGAAAGCTTAACTGAGTTGGTGGGGGGTTGGCGGGTTCTAGATGAACACTCCTTCTCTGACCATCGATATATTGAAATAGTATTGAATTTCTCTCCAACTAGCCCAACACTACGCAAAAACTTAAAAAACACAGATTGGAGCTACTATAAACAGCTACTTGAAGATAAGCTCTCTAGCTTAGCCCCTATAGAACCTGAATGTACCGAGGATCTAGAGAAAATGGTCAATGTATTTACCTCGACCTGCTCAGAGGCCCTAGGTCAGGCGTGCCCTGATCCTAAGCCGCGAGGTAAATGTAAACCACACTGGTGGTCGCGGGTGTTAGACCCGCTTCGCAAATCTTGCAGGAAGCAATTCAATAAGGCCAAAAGGCTTAGCTGGGAGCTCGAATGGCAGGAGTACAAGCGGTTACTGCGGACCTATAAAAAAGCTCTGAGATCTTCCAAAGAGATCTTCCTGGAGGGTTTTTTGTAGTGGCATCGAAGGCGTTTCCGAAGCTGCCAGGCTGCGAAAGATTCTCTCCAGATCTCCCAACCCGATAGGCTTCTTACAAAAGCACGATGGACCTCCACGGTAAAGGAAACCCTTGAGCTACTTATATACACTCACTTTCCTGGGAACATAGTTGTAGGGGAAAACTCCCCTTCTGTAACTTCTTCCTACGCGGTGAATATACCCATCTCGGAAGAAAGAGTCAGAGGGGCAATACAAAGTTTTAAACCATATAAAACTGCAGGACCAGATGGTATAATACCTGCACAACTGATTAAGACACTGGATGTGTCTGCAAAATGGCTTCTAAGTATTTTCAAGGCCTGCTTCAAGTTTAATCACATACCGCTGGCATGGAGAAATGTCACGGTCGTCTTTATTCCAAAGGCCGGTAAGGCCTCACATACTAACCCGAAGGATCTTAGGCCCATCAGCCTTTCCTCCTTTGCTCTTAAGACACTTGAAAGGATTGTTAGCAGCTTCCTTTCTGACACCATAGACAGTCGTCTACTGTCTGATAACCAACATGCGTACCGTAAAGGTAAATCGACGAAGACCGCACTTCATCATCTGGTCGCCTATATCGAGAAGTCCTTCAACGTTAAGGACTTCTGTCTCGTAGCCTTCTTGGATGTTGAAGGCGCTTTCAACAACGTACTCCCGGAGGCTATTACTGATGCCGTGGGGGCCCTAGGAGTGGACAGCTCACTCCGTTGCCCTCTATACTTGTAAAAGGGCCATAGGCAAGAGATGGGTCCTCAGTCCCCGGATCTGTCGATGGATATTTATAGCAGTCGTCAGACCAATACTCCTGTATAGAGTGATCGTGTGGTGGCCTGCGTTAGATAAAGAGGTCAATCTCAGGCTTCTCACCAAGGTGCAAAGGTCTAGTATGATCTGCATAAGCGGAGCGCTCAGAACCACGCCAAGCGATGCTCTGAACGCTATTTTGGATCTTCTGCCACTGGATTTGGTAGGAAAGCAGATGGCAGCGCTCGCTGCTCTTCGCTTAAGAGAGGCATCCCAATGGCAACCTGTAGCCCAGGGACACTCTTGTATATTAAATGAATTCTGCTTCATTCCGAACTGCACAGACCGCTGTGCTTCGACATCGATTCCGGAAAGCAACCTCAGCACCAGAATTCCAAGCAGATTTCAACCCTCCATCCGATAGCATTAACATCTATACAGGTGGTTCAAACCTCGACGGAAAGGTAGGAGGCGGCGTTTTCTCACGAAACCCTCCTCCAAAAATCTCTTTTAGGTTACCGGACTACTGCAGCTTATTCCAAGCTGAAGTTTCAGCCATCATGGAAGCTGCTGAGAAGCTTGGAACCGAAATGATGGGAAGGGACATCTTCATTTTTAGTACTAGCCAGGCTGCGATCAAAGCTCTGAGCTCCTTGACGTTTCACTCAAAGATTGCGCTGCACTGCCGCCTATCTCTACAGGAGGTAGCCAAGCAGGTATGTTCAGCAACAACAACCGACTTATGCTAACAGACTTCACCTCACTTGGGTCCCTGGTCATAGGGACATAGAGGAAAACTGCATGGCAGATGAACTTGCAAGGCAAGGCACAACCGGGCAGATTCTTCCTGGTAAAGAACGCATTGGTATGCCTTTTGCCACTTGCAAACTGCTAATTAGTGAATTTGTTTACAAACAATCTGAAGAAAGATGGAGTCAAAGTACGACTTGTCGAGTTTCCAGGCAGACTTGGCCTAAATGGGACCGGAGGCGGTCACGAAGGGTTTACTCTCTTAGAAGAGAGGACATATTTAACGTCGTTGGGGCCCTAACCGGGCACTGCTTAATAGGTAAACATGCAGAAAGGCTCGGGGTGCCCTTTTGTAGATGTTGCAGAAGCTGCAAGGACGACGAAGAGGAGGAGACAGTCTTGCATCTCTTGTGTAAATGCCCTGCAATGTGCAGAAGCAGGCTGCGTCATCTGCGACACGAAGTGGTTGAATGGGGAGGATAATTGAACGGTGTCAACTGTGGTAACACAATGGGCCTTCTATCTATGGCCTAAGTGTGCCGCTAGGGCGGCAGCCACTTCTACCTACCTACCTACATAACTTCGGAACAATAAGTCACATAAACATAACATTTGCTATGCAGACATATCTATGGTAGGTGCTTATAGTAAGGTATATAGCACTTAACATAGGCTTGAAATTTTTTATCAGCCATAACTTCAGAACCACAAGTCACATGACCCCTTTAATTCCTTCTGGCGTTGGGTGAAACCCGCGGGTAAAAGCTAGTAATTAATAAATTCCCCAAAGAGCCCCATTTGAAATTATTGAAACGAATATATGTAATATCAAAAGCAAATCACGAAAATTTGGTTAAGAATTATAGTGCACACTTTCTTCATTTATGTCTATTAGTTTTTTTAAGATTAGCCCAAAAAATCATAATAAAAAAAGAAAGCAATGCAGGTGTTTAAAGCACAGAAAAAAAACATTGTTAAAAAGACTATGTTCGCTTTGACGTACGTAAAAGGTCAAGTAGAAGTTGGAACTTATATGGCTGCCCATTGATAGCTCGGTTATATAGCTTAAGAAATAATGGCCCGTAGTTATAGACAAGTTAGAGGCAGGTTTTAACATTTAAAACTGTATATTAAGATAAACACTCTTTTAACACTGTCATAGTCAACTTAAAAGACCTTTTAACTTTAAAACGACGTTTTAAATTTAAAATGAGGTTGATGAGGTTCTAAAATCTTAAAAGCGTACTCTAAGTAGACGTTTTCCTGTCAAAATTTGCGAGGCNAAAAGACCTTTTAACTTTAAAACGACGTTTTAAATTTAAAATGAGGTTGATGAGGTTCTAAAATCTTAAAAGCGTACTCTAAGTAGACGTTTTCCTGTCAAAATTTGCGAGGCAAATACAAAAGTGGTCTTAATTTGAAGAATATGCTTCCCAATCAAAGGATATTTCGAGATTTTGCGATTTTGGATAATACAATCGCAACCAGAAATAGGAAAACATACAAGGAACGCCAAGATCCTTTTCAAATGAAAGAGAAGGACCGAAAGCAGGTCTTTTCAGCAGCAGTCCAATTAACTTCACGAATTCTTTTCACTTCCTATAAAAAATAAATTATTTACGTTAGTAAATTATATTTTACAAAAATAAGTTATTTACTTACAGTTTGCTGCGCCATTTTCAAAATTATTTATAAAAGTCAGTTGACACAGGGTGAACTTGCTAAAATAACAAAGTTTTCCTAAAGCCGATTGGTTACTTTTTTCATTTTATATTAATGGCCCTGTTTTGTGTCAATCTAGCAAAAACCTGCCTCTAACATGTCTATAACTGACTAAAACTTAAAGCCTGCTCTAAACTTAAAGATTGATTTTAACTAGAAGAGGTTTTAACTTTCGACTATAACTACGGGCCAATGTGTTTAAAGACATTTTTATCAAAGTTGATAAATATGACATTTCACCAGTTTTGTCACACAAATACTCCCACTAACACAAGCAAAAATATTGGCTACAATTTGTCATTTTGTTTGCCATATATACGTTTTATCGGTGCACTTGCACACCATTCGCATTCGCAAAAGCTCCGCATAGATTATTGCGAATGCGAACGTTGAAATTAATGCGGAAGCTCCGCGGTTGCGAATGCGAATGCGAATAATCGCAACAACCCTGATGTACAACAACCGACGTACGCTAACAGGTATGTTCAACAACAACAACCGACTTATGCTAACAGAGATGTACATCAACAGTAAACGACTTATGCTAACAGAGATGTACAGCAGCAGCAACAGACTTACGCTAACAGATATGTTCAACAACAGCAACCGACTAACTTTAACAGATTTGTACAACAAAACCAAAACTACGACTGTTACGAACGTCAACCAAACTCTTCGATCCAAAGTGGAACGTACAACAACAGCAATCAAACGACAAGATCCAATAACAATAGGTGCGTTCGTTTAAAATCTCCAGCAGAAACCAACCAACTGCCAAATTCCGGCGAAATGTCATCTGTTCGCTCACAAGAGAGAAATATCCAAAACAGTACGCGAACAGAAAATTTGCAGAAACTTGCAAGTTAGACGAACAGCTGATATAATTTTTGTTTACATTCAAAAGTGTAAAATTTAAAACGTACGAAAAGTTATCACAAAGTGTTATACTGACACCGTTTATTGATTAAACAAATAACTACTTATTTCTTACAAGTTTAATTAGTCGCATTTTGTAATTTTTAACTTCCAAACCATTAAATTCAATTTTGTGATTTGCGTAAATGCCAACCAGCTGTTTTTGATCAGTTTTCCTGTTGGCAAATTTCTGTTGGCAAAAATTTTTCCAGCAGAAACCAACAGCTTCCCCTCAAAATGAAATGTCACTTTGCTCTCTCAATTTCCCCTACTTTGCAAGTTTTTTGCGTACGCGAACGCGAACGAACCTAATAATAGGGCAAATAATAATTTAGCAAATCGATTTGAAGGTAGTTTTGAACAAACATACGGCCCTGTCTCCACAGGAAAACACTGATGTCGTGAAAACTATGTCACAAAATATATTTCCAATGGAGACCGCCTATTTCTCATGTGCTGCAATATATGTCAGCGCTTATTGCTTGACATCTATTAAGCTTATTAAGCTTAATCATCGACTTAAACTCTCTGGAGTATCGCAAGTATTTATCCTTGTGAGATAGGGCATTTGAAAGTTTAAATTTCTTAAAAAACTTGTTTTTCAAATTCTTCAATTTTTTAAGATCTTTGGTATACCAGGGAACCTTATAGCATTTTTTATGCACCTTTGGTATATTATCCGCACAGATTACATTAATTTCTTGCTTAAAAGTATCGAAACAATCCAAAACGCCAACCCCCGGAAATAACGAATCCCAGGCTATAGATGAAACCGCGTCATTTACAACATCAAAGTTGCATTTTCTATAGCAGAAGCTAGTAGGATTACTATCCGATAAAACCGTTCTAAACTCATAAAACTCTAAATGAAGAATAAGCGGAACATGATGTAGACCGGGAGTTGATAATGGGTCAAGGCACTCATTAAGTGTGAAATTCAAATCATTACTAATAAAGATAAGGTCTAGGATTCTAGATAGCTTATTAGAAAAATTATTAATTTGTGATAGGTTAATACTTAAAAAATTATCAATAACATAACATTCATAGCCACTGTTAACATTCGTAGGATATAAGGCTAGGCCATTATCCAAACTAGACCAGTTAATGTCACACAGGTTAAAATCCCCAACAATACCAAGACTTTCATTATTAGAAGCTAAGGCAAGAGTTTTATATAAAGACTCAGCACTAGACGGCGTAATATAGGAAGCACATACAAAACGCATAGACAAGCCATTGACCGTAACGCAAAGCTGATCCAGCAGGGTATCCGCATTCGCCAAAGGGACAAGCGACGATCGATAGTTTCGCCCAACTGCCAAGAGTACTCCACCAGAGAGCCCGGTTTTAATATAGTCACGGTCTTTGCGAAAAACGTTGTACAGATTGGCGTCAAAAAACTCAGAATCGAAAAAATGTGTATTAAGCCAGGTCTCAATCAGTATGTAAATGTAATAATCTGAGTAAGAACTCATTTCAAAAAGTGCCTTGGACTTTATTCGGAGGCCGGAAACATTTTGATAAAATATTTTTAATTGCTTGGAAGGAACTTTTCTTGACACAGGGTTACTTATGCCTCTTTCTGAGGAGCACCGTCTCGTTGTAAAAAACGAAACGGACGAATCAACACACTCTCGGGCCATATGTCCGCCTTAAGCAGCTTCTCGTAGCCGCAATCCAAAATCCCCAATTTGAAGTTAATTCTTCTGAGTTTACTAAGATCCGAATCTTTCTTTATTAGCGGGTAGCAAACCATCCACTTTACATCGATTTTAGCTGCCTTAGAAGCATACGACAAAATATCAGTAGCGGTTACACTAGGCGAGAATGAAGATATATGCAGCCATTTGAAGTCTGAAATAACACTTAGCTCATTGGTGCTGCATAAGCCAATAACCAAAGGTTTTACAGTATTGCATTTACGTTTTGGTACAGTTTTCCAGCCGGGTGTTTGCAAGTATTAGTAGTAGTCGCAGCAGCACTCGCAGTAGGTGTCGTAGCTTGCATTACCACTGGGACAGGCGAAGAAGTAGGAATAGGAGAAGAAGAAAAATGGCCTACACAAGCAGCATTGCAGAGACCATATCGTCGCTCCCAACGAAGAGTAGCACATCTCAAATTACCGTGGAAGACTAGCACGTTTCACTATTCGCGTCGAAGACTAGCACATTTCATTATTCGCGTCGAAAAGTAGCACATTTCAGATTCTCGCGTGGAAGACTAGCACATTTCACTAATCGCGTGGAAGACTAGCACATTTCAGATTTTTGCGTGGAAGACTAGCACATTTC